CAAATGTCAGTTATATTCAGTAAAGCTTTTGTAAAACACACACACACACACACACAAAATCAGCCCACAGGCTGGGTTCTCAGCTCTCTGCACACATTAACTCATTTTATCCTAATAACAAATCTGTAAGGTTGGCACTGTTATTATTTTGAAGGTAGGCCACAGGCTCAGAGGGGTTAAGTAACTTGTCCAAGGTTGCATAGCTGGTGAGTGGCTGTCTGGCTCTGGAGTTCTGTACCCTACACCATCACCTGGCCATATAATATTGGGGTTTTTATGGAAAAGCAAAGATGGGGATGTGAAGAAGAAAGGGGCAGGTGACAGAGAAACCTATGGGAGGTCAGTCGGGCTCCCCTGCCCCACCCTTGACCTAACCCCTGTCCCTTAGGTAGCAGGGCTGAGAGGCCCTGTGCTCCGGCTTCGTGAGCCGCTGGGTGTGCTGGCCATCGTGTGCCCTGACGAGCTGCCCCTGCTTGCCTTTGTGTCGCTGCTGGCTCCTGCCTTGGCCCATGGCAACACTGTAGTCTTGGTGCCTAGTGGGACCTGTCCCCTGCTTGCCCTGGAGGTCTGCCAGGTACAGTCTCACCTGCCTATGCATTTTCCTGATGCTCCCCCCAGGTCTGCAGGAGCTCCACTGTCTTCCCACCCTCTTTGGTAACCATAATAACCCCAGTCCCAGCATCCCAGACTAAGCTGGTGCATTCCTCCCCGAGCCCAACAGCCATTCCCCGATGCACACTCCTGACCCAACCCCACTCCCCCCTAGCCCTGGGTGGCCCACTCTCTCACCCCCTAGGATATGACCACCCTGTTCCCTGCTGGCCTCGTGAACGTGGTGACAGGAAATCGGGACCACCTGACCCGCTGCCTGGCCTTGCACCAGGACATTCAGGCCCTGTGGTACTTCGGATCTGCTCAGGTACCCTTCTGGAAGCACCGCCCCACGCCCTGAGCACTCCTGTTGTTAAAGGCAATGAGGGTCAGTGGTTTGTCCCTTTAGAACCCTGGTTGGTAAGAAAGAGGATCTCCTTACCAACAAAGATATTGGCTGACCTGTTGCTAAGGACCACACCCTGGCAATCGAATCAGGTCCAAAGTCTACCCTCTTAAACATCCCTTTGGCAACCAATGGGAACTCCCGGTCCACGGGGCCTGGAGCTCATTCCTTTGAGCGTGGGTGTTGAAGAAGAGGAAATTCCCTAGCCACAGGGTCAGCCTCTTTCCCTCAGCATCTGGAGGGGTTGTTTGCTAGGAGCCGAGCATCCAGCTAGGTCAAACCTTGAGGTCTCTCCAAAGAATCCTCATTGCTAAGGAAGCAGCTGCTTAGCAACCAAGCCTCTGGCAGTGCTAATCCTATCCTGTCCCCATCCCAGGGCTCCCAGTTTGTGGAGTGGGCCTCAGCAGGAAACCTCAAGCCTGTGTGGGTGAACAGAGGCTGCCCGCGGGCCTGGGATCAGGAGGCCGAGGGGGCAGGCCCAGAGCTGGCGCTGCGGGCAGCACGGACGAAGGCCCTGTGGCTACCCATGGGGGACTGATGTGTGAGTGCCATGCACCCCACCTCAAATGCAGAAGAGATGGATTCCAGCAGATGCTAGATGCCTGGAACGTTCCTCTCGTGGTTCCTGGGTCCCCCAATAAACTGTCTGACCTGACCTGCTATGTTTCTGAGGGAGGAGGGGACAGCAACTCTGATTTGTATGAACCCCTCCAGTTCAGCATCACAGTGGGTGGCTCCAGGACAACACAGCACTTGTGAGACAGATAAAGGGGACTCTGAGAGCCCCCACGCAGGGCAGTCTGAGGGGGCAAAAGGAGGAGTCAGAGGGAAGTCCCTGGAAGGCTCTGTTCCCGTGGGTGGTGTCAGGGTCCTTCCCGTTAGGTCTCCCATTGCTTACCCTGGCCAGAGCCAAGTGTGCAGGCAGGTCTGTACCACAGCGTTCACGACAGGGAAATCTAATTGGCCAGCCTGAGCCAGGGGTCTGCCTCTGTCCAGGCTCTCCAGCCAGCATATCAACGTGCCAGTTGCCACCTCAGGTCAGGCATGTTCAGGGCACCGGGGGAGGCAAGTGCCAACTAGGCAGCACCAGCCGCCCAGAGCCCATGTGCTGGTGACAGAGGTGTGTGAGCTTCCTGTCACTGCTGCCACAAATTCCCACAAACTTTGGGGTTTAAAAAGAATGACAAAACGTTATCTCACAGGCAGCACGTGGTGGTGCACACCTGTAATCCCAGTGGCTCCAGAGGCTGAGGCAGGAGGATCGCAAGTTTAAAGCCAGCCTCAGCAAAATCGAGGCGCTAAGCAACTCAGTGAGACCCTGTCTCTGAATACAAAATAGGGCTGGGGCTCAGTGGTCGAGTGCCCCTGAGCTCAATCCCTGGATACAAAAAAAAAAAAAGTCATCTCACAGTTCTGGAGGTCAGACTAAAATGAGCTTTGGTGAGCTGAAGTCAAGCCACAGTTTCCGGCGGTGCTTTCTGCAGGCTCTGGGGGACGTGTCTTGTAGCTTTCCAGCTTGTCCAGGCCACCAACAGCCCTTGGCTCATGCCCCCTTCCTCCGCCTGCAGAGCCAGCAGTGGCTGACATCACTCCTGGTTCACACTGACACCTTTTCTTTTGACACACCTCTGACTGGTTCTTCCTGTCATTTCTAACGACTCTTGTAATGACATTGGGTCCACCTGGATTGTCCAGGTCATCTCCCCATCTCAGGATCCTTAATCGCCTCTGCCAAGTCCCTTTTGCCACATGGGAGCCAGAGGCACTACAGATTAGGATGTGGACATCCTTGGGGGCCGTGGCTCTGCCTGCCACAGGACAAGACAGAAGAGGTCAATTATGAAAAGGTGGTTCCCTGGGCTACATGAGAAGGGAGAGGAAGAGAGAAGGGAAGAGAAATGTTGTTGGGCAGGGTGGACCAGGCTTTGCTGCAGTGAGAGTCACTGTGTGTTCTAGGGCCACAGAGCTCCTTTCGCTCACGTTGCCTGTCCATCAAGGATTGGGGGGGGGCGGCTGGGGCTCAGCGGTAGAGCACTCGCCTAGCACGTGCGAGACCCTGGGTTCGATCCTCAGCACCACATATGAATAAATAAATAAATAAAGATTTTGTGTCCGACTACAACTAAAAAAATATTTAAAAAAAAAAAAAAAAAGGATTGGCAGGGTCCCTCTGCCCTGGGAGTCAGCCAGGGAACTTGGCTGAGAGAGGCTGGTTTACTCCACTCTCTGTTGCTATCCCTGATTGAACCCAGGGGTACTTAACCACCAAGCCACATCCCCAGCCCTTTTTATTTTTTATTTTGAGACAGGATCTGGCTAAGCTGCTTAGGGCCTAAGTTGCTGAAGCTGGCTTTCAACTTGTGATCCTCCTGCCTCAGCCTCCAGAGTCACTGGGATTATAGGCATGTGCCAGACTGGTAATTTGCAAAGAATAAAGGCTCGTGGTTCTGGAGGCCGAGAGGAACTGCACCTGTGGAGGACATCTTCACCGCATCAACAGGAGGCAGAGGACATGACGTGGCGAGACGGTGCTGGCCTGCTAGAGAGCTCGCTCTCAGAGCAAAGGCACTTCCTCCGTAACCTGTCCTCCATTAATTAGTGAATGGATTAATGTCCTTATAACCCAGTCATCCCCCGCAAAGGTCACGCCTCTAAATGCCATTAACATGAATTTGGGGATTACATTTCCAATCTGAAATTTGGGTGACGCAATGAAGTCATCGCAGAGGCCCCTACAGTGCACCTCTCACCATCACTGTCCACTCCCAGCCTGGGCAGCTTCCACCCAGAGGGGCCTGGCACTCTCACTCTCAGCGGTCAGCCAAGCAAGCCACACGACCCAGCCTGAGTTCCACTGGGCCCGTAGGCCGAGTCAGCACCAGAGCACCCAGGGAGGAGCTGGGCACCTTGGAGAGAAGAAATGGGGGAAGGCTGCTCATATCAGGGCCTTCTTATTCATTCATTCTAGGGATTGGACCCAGGGGTGCTCTACCACTGAGCTACATCCCCAGCCCTTTGTATTTTGAGACTGTCTTGCTAAGTTGCTGAGGCTGGCCTCAAACTTGCCATCCTCCTGCCTCAGTCTCCTCACTGGGATTATAAATATTTGCCACTACATCCAGCTAGTGCCTTTGTTTTCAAAGCACATAATATATCTGCAATGAAATCATCATTTCCGGGTCAGCTTACTCAGAGTCTGCCAACTTCATCAGGGCAAGAAATGTACCTTTCATGCACAGCCACATCCCCAGCACTGAGCTGGCAGCACTGTGGGTACTCAGCATTGTAGTACCAGAGCACCAGGTGTGTGCTCCATTCTCAGAGTGGGCCCCAGCCCCACAGGGTAAGGCTCAGTCCTAGATAAGCCTCTCCCCCAGACATCCACAAGCCACCTGTACTTCTGACCCACTGACTACAAATCCAGGGCTCTCATGACCTCTTCAGGTTCAAGAACTCTGGAAAGTGCTATACTCACAATCACAGTGTCATTAGAAAGAATACAGACCAGGGCTGGGGATGTGGCTCAAGCGGTAGCGCGCTCATCTGGCATGCGTGCGGCCCGGGTTCGATCCTCAGCACCACATACAAACAAAGATGTGTCTGCCGAAAACTAAAAAATAAATAAATAATTAGAAAGAATACAGACCAGACTGGGCGCAGTGGCACACGCCTGTAATCCCAGAGGCTGGGAGGCTGGGGCAGGAGGATCAAGAGTTCAAAGCCAGCCTCAGCAACAGTGAGGCGCTAAGCAACTCAATGAGATCCTATCTTTAAATGAAATACAAAATAGGGCTGGGGATGTGGCTCAGTGGTTGAGTGCCTCTAAGTACCAATAAAAAGAAAAAGGAAAAAAAAAAAAACATGAACGCTGAGGGCTGGCTGTACCGTTTCCAAACGCTCATCCCCCAGGGAATCAGAGCATATCACCTTCCTGATGTACTGTGCTCACCAATAACAAGAGCCTCAAAAAATTTTTTTTTAATATTTATTTTTTAGTTTTAGATGGGCATAATATCTTTATTTTACGTTTATGTGGTGCTGGGGATCGAATCTAGTGCCTCATGCATGGTAGGCAAGCACACTACCACTGAGCCACAACCCCAGCCCCCCCAAAATCCAAAATTTTTACCCAGGCTTCCTCTGGTAGACAGGTCCCCAACACTTCCCAGAGTTTCGCAAGTCTAGCTCAAATCCCCAGCTCTCTAATCACATAATTGGTCTTTCTAGTATGACCAGCCTCCCTCAGTATAAACTCAGGGAGTCAAGGTGGCAACCATGAATAACAATGACACTCCTAATACCTGGGAAATTCCAAGGTTTTATCTCCCAGGAACCAGCGGCAAGAGCCAGACACAGTCTCTATAATTCAGCAATGGTGAAGAAGGGAAGAGGTCAGGATCAGTTTTTGCGATCATTCAGCCAATATCTGTGGAGCAGCTGCTAGGGCCAAAGAGTTCTAGAAACTCAGAAGGGGTAAAGCAGATACCTACTGAGGACCTCCTGGAGCCCATGTCCCCTGGAAGAAAACAACAATGAAGATCAGAAAGCCACATGGTGCGTTAGAAGGTGACAAGTATGAAGTGGGGGTGAGTAGGAATGCTGGGGGTATGGGGGCAGTTTCAAAAAGGGGTGTGTGGAGAAGTGCGATTTTTAAAGGGTGTCGGGAAGCCCCTGCCTGTGAGTTAAGCAAACACCTGACTGAGATGGGGGTGAGCCACATAGGTGTCTGGGGTGAGGCCAAAACATCCAGTGCAAAGGTCTAAGGCAGGAGTGTGCCCACGTCGCACACAGCAAGGAGGGCTGGTGTTGGAGAGGGACGGGAGGTGAGGTCAGAGGGGAGATGGGACCAGATCCTGCAGTTCCATGTGGACCATTGTTCTGAATGAGGGGAGCTACAGGGAGCTGACAGGTCTGCATGGACTTCTTTTGACTGCTTGGAGAGCCACTAGAGTCTAGGGGGCTGAAGCAGGGAGCCTAGTGAGTGTTGTCCCAGGCAGGAGGTGGTAGCAGGACCCAGATAATGGCAGTTGCAGTGGTGAGAATCGGTAGAATTCCTGCTACATTTTGAAGGTGTAGCCAATCCATTTGTTGATGGGCCTGCCATTATGCAGTGAAAGGCGCAGAGGCGTGGACTCCAAGGCTTTGGGCCTGAGAGCCTGGAGGGATGGAACTGCCATCTACCTTGGGGCGTTGAGGAAGATTTTGGGGTGAGAAAGGAGGTTTCAGGGTGGCCTGCGCCTGGCTTGGTGTGCCTTGGGCTTGGCGCTATGCACGCCGTCTAGGCGAAGGCGCCACCTTCACCACCAGGGGGCGCCCTCTGCCTCGACCCGATTCCACCCCTGCTCGCGGTCTCCCCCCAAAATTTCCTTTCACTTTCGGTCTCTGGCTGTCACCCAGCTTAGCCCTTCCACACCCAGCTGGGGCAAGCCTAGTGCGTGAGGAGAATGGGACTCCAGGTCCCCGAGGGGCGGGGCTGGGGTCCCCGTTCCTGCGGCTGAGGGAGCATGGCATGGGGAACCCCGTTCCCGGGTCCCTGACCTGAGGAGGGTTTCGGGGACCGGACGTCGGGGTTCTTGGAAGGGGAGATGAGTTTTCAGTGTAACTGGGGCTCACGCAGGAAGCCTGGGGGAGTAGGAGGCGGAAACTTAGCCACATCAAGGGCAGGAGGGAGGGGCGGGGAGGCGAAGGGGCGGGCGAGGAAGGGGCTGAGGGGTGCGTGTCCGAGACCAGCTCTTCTGTCCCTTCCAAGACCCGGCCACAGGCATGAGGGGCTCTCGGCAGAGATGATAGTGCTGGCGCCAGCCTGGAGCCCAATTGTGCGTATACCTGGGAGGAGGGGGGCACCAGGTCAAGATGGGCGAGCTGAAGGGGAGGTGGGGAGGAGTTGGGGGAGGTGGACAGGTGTAGTAGGTGGCAGAGGTGGGGAGATGGGCAGAGGTGTGAGGTCATGGGCGGGGTGGGGAGATGGGCAGAGGTCGGGAAAGAGGTAGGGAGGGGAGAGATGTGGAGGGAGGTGGAGAAGGCGAGAGATGAGACAGGATGGATGAAAGTGGACGGTTTTGGACAAGAGACAGGAGTAGGCCATGTTGGGGAGAGATGGGGACACATCAGACAAGATGCAGGGGAGAGAGGGGACGGGAAGATCTGGAATGAGACCTGAGAAGGGGACAGGCGAGAGAGGTGGGGGAGGTGGAGCCAGCTGACTGGCCCGTGCCCCCCCCCCCAGTCCTCACTGCTGCTGCTGCTGCTGCTGAGCCCTGGCCTCCGGGGGACCCCCGACTGCTCCTTCAAGCACAGCCCCATCACATCTACTTTTGCAGCCACCATCCGCAAGCTGGTGAGCCTTCCTGGCTGGTCCCCTCCCCTGGGTCCCTGCTTGAGCTCAAAGTTCTGTGACTGGGTATCTGTCATCTCTCTCCCTTGGTCTCTGCCCCTTGCCCCAGGTCTCTGCCTTCCATCTCTGAGTCTCCGTAGTTCTGTTTCTCCGGCTCTCAGCCAGGCCTAACCCTCTTTTCTCCTGCAGTCTGACTACCTGCTTCAGGATTACCCAGTCACTGTGGCCTCCAACCTGCAGGACGTGAGTCATAGGTGGGATGGGCCTGGGACAGAGGTGGGGACCAGATGCAAGATTCACCAACCTTCAGGGGCCAGACTAGTGAGCCAAGAGCCTCCCTCTCCCTCAAACCCAGGGGTCCAGGCCCAGCCTCCTCCCTCAGACCAAGGGTCCAGGCCCAGCCCCCTCCCTCAGACCCAGGGTCCAGCCCCAGCCTCCTCCCTCAGACCCAGGGGTTCAAGCCCAGCCTCCTCCCTCAGACGCAGGGTCCAGCTCCAGCCTCCTCCCAGACCCAGGGTCCAGCCCCAGCCCTCCCCCCTCAGACCCAGGGTCCAGCCCCAGCCTCCCCCCTCAGACCCAGGGTCCAGCCCCAGCCTCCCCCCTCAGACCCAGGGTCCAGCCCCAGCCTCCCCCCTCAGACCCAGGGTCCAGCCCCAGCCTCCTCCCTCAGACCCAGGGGTCCAGGACCAGCCTCCTCCCTCAGATTGAGGGTATGGCCTGTCCCTCCCCAGGAAGAACTCTGCAAGGCGCTGTGGCAGCTGGTACTGGCTCAGCGCTGGATGGAGCAACTCAAAACTGTGGCCGGGTCTCAGATGAAAATCCTCCTGGAGGACGTCAACACTGAAATACACTTTGTCACCTTATGTGCCTTCCAGGTCAGCCCTGAGCTCCGGGGATGAATGAGGGGAGGGAGCCTCCCAGGCACCACAAGTGAAGCTCCTCCGGAGCCTCACTGGGAGTTCTTTTGGCAGCAGAGCCCCAAGGGAGAATGAGCTGGAACTTTGCTCCCCTGAGGTCCCCAGGGACACTGCTGCTGGGTACCAGAAGATGGTGAAGGGCTCCACAATTGGGCCCAGGTTTCTTAGGCCCTGATGAGAGGGGCAGCTAAGGGGTCATGTCCCCTTGCCACCAGGGAGCCTGGGGGTCTCAACTCTGAGATTCAGGCCTCCTTGGGTTCATTGCTGGATGTTGCCGGCAGGGAAAGCCCTGGGCTGGCTGGCTGGAGATGCTGGGGCCATGTGGCCGTGACATCTCCCTCCCCTGCTCCCAGCCCCTCCCCAGCTGCCTTCGCTTCGTCCAGACCAACATCTCCCACCTCCTGCAGGACACCCTCAAGCAGCTGGTGGCTCTGAAGCCCTGGATCACCCGCCGGAATTTCTCTCGGTGCCTGGAGCTGCAGTGCCAGCCCGGTAACGGCTCCCAGTCCCTGAAGCCCACTGGTACCCTCCTGTCCCTTCTGCTCAGTGTGTCCCAGAGGGCCCTTGCTCTCCACTGCTACGACCTGGAGCAAGTTCATTCCCCTTTCTGCTTCAGTTTACCCATCTTTGAGAAGGAAGCTGTAGTCCCTGCCTGTGTGTCTAAGAAACCCTGTCCACAGACACAGGCAGTCACTTATTTAAGTTTTAAATTCCTGGCTGCCATGTGGGGGAAAAATAAAGATGGATTCATTTTTTCCTCAGGATTTTAATTTTTTTTTTGGTACTGGGGATTGAACTCAGGGGCACTCGACCACTGAGCCACATCCCCAGCCCTATTTTGTGTTTTATTTAGAGACAGGGTCTTACTGAGTTGCTTAGTGTCTCGCCATTGCTGAGGCTGGCTTGGAACTCGTGATCCTCCTGCCACAACCTCCCAAACTGCTAGGATTACAGGCATGCACCATCATGTCCAACTCAATGTTTCTTATTTCTTAGCAAGTTAATAGTTGTTTTATTTATTTAAAAAAATCTTTATTTTATTTATGTATTTATTATTTTTATGTGGTGCTGAGGATGGAACCCAGCGCCTCACATATGCTAGGCAAGCGCTCTACCGCTGAGCTACAAACACAGCCCCCGAGTTGTTTTATTTTTAAGCTTTTTTTCCTTTGGGAATAATCATAGAAAAACTGCAAAGACATTAAGGCGATCCCCTGCCCTCCATGCCCAGCCTCTCCAGTTTACATTTGCTTGTTAATTAACTAATAGAACAAAATTAAAACCAGGAAATTGACATTGGTCCAATCCACAGAGTTTATTCGGATTTTATCACTTATTTATACACACTTGAGTGTGTATATGAGTTTGTGAGCGCTGCCGTGACAGAGCCCCACAGAGTGACTTAAACCACAGATGACCTAGTGCTGGAAGCCAGAAGTCCAAGATCCGCTGTCACCAGGGCCTGTGAGAGTAAATCCGCTCCAGGACTCTTTTGGCTGGTAGATGGCTGGCTTCTTCATGGTCGTTATGCTCTCTGACACATACATATGTATATATATTTTAAATATTTTTCATTGTAGATGGACACATACCTTAATTTTATTTATTTATTTTTATGTGATGCTGAAGAGCAAACCCAGTGCCTCACACATGCTAGGGAAGTGCTCTACCACTGAGCCACATCCCCAATGTAGGATTCTATTAAGATATCAATAATTTAATATTTTTATTTAATGCAATATCCCCCCAAACTCTATTCAGTGTTTAAAAAAATTATTTAGTGATTCAGGTGCTGCAATCCCAGCTTCTCCAGAAGCTAAGGCAGGAGGATCGCAGGTCTGAGGCCAGCCTGGGTAAATCAGTGCAACTCTATCTGAAGACACAAATAAATAAATAAATCGGGCCAGGCTGTAGGGCGGTGGCACAGCGCTTGCTGGCATGTGCATGGCCCTGGGCTTCATCTACACTATTGCCAAAAACAACTCAAGTAACTCAAGTAACTGCAGCTCAGGGTTGACACACTAATCCGGGAAACAGTTGATAAACACCCAACACACAAATAAACAAGAAAGTAGCTCACTGTCATCAAATTAAAACAAGATGATAGAATCCTGAGCTGGGTTGTGATTGGAAGTTACTGGAAGTTGGGAACAAAGGAATAGCCAGTGCCAAAGACCCTGGGGCAGAAATCTGCCTGTGTTTAGGGGACATCAGGGAGGCCTGTGAGACTGAAGCTGAGTGGGTAGGAGGGAAGCTGAAGGCACAGAGAGGAAAAAAGGGCCAGATTTGCAGAGCCCCAGGGACACCATAGGTTCATGTATTGTATGTCACTGGGTTTGTTTATTTATTTACCTGCAGTATGGGGGATTGAACCCAGCACTTTGTGCATGCTAGGCAAGCGCTCTACCACTGAGTTACACTCCAGCCTTTTTATTTTTTGAGACAAGGTCCCCCTGAGTTGCTGAAGCTGGCCTCTAACTTGTGTCCTCATGCCCCAGCCTCCTAAGTCTCTAGGATTACAGGCCTGTGCCACTGTGCCCAACTCTGTTACTGTTTTAATATCTAAATGTCCATTCATTCACATACTTAAATTATAGGTTCTGGTGGTAAATAACCCAGATAAGGCTCCTGCTTCCTGGGGGCAGGGGATGGGGGTGGGGTCTCAGGACTGGGAGATGACAGGTACATAACCACTGGAAACATTTGAGTTTAAGTATGAAATAAAATATAACCTAAGTGCCAGGTTCTCGCCTAAGCACTCATGATTTTGTGTCAGCCTTGTGAGGTAAGTACAATGATTATCTGTCCTCATTTCCCTGGGGATGAGGCAGCTGCGGTCAGGGAGGGGAGGCTGGCGCCCACTGAGGTCCCACAGCTGGCCCCAGCAGGACTCCTGCCTTCCCTGACACAACCTTCTCCTCGTTCACCGTTCACCGGGTCCCCTCTCTCCCCAGACTCCTCCACCCTGCCGCCCCCAAGGAGTCCCCGGGCCTTGGGGGCAACAGCACTGCCAGCCCCTCAGTCCCACCTGCTGTTCCTGCTGCTGCTGCTGCCCGTGGCCCTGCCACCACTGGCCGCTCTCTTGTGCCTACGCTGGAGAAGGGTGAATGGCCGCCCTGCCCCTCAGGTGAGGAACAGGTGAGGGGGGCGCAGAGAGATGGGAAAGGAAGGGGGGGCTGGAGGCTCTGCCTGCCCACATGAGGCTGACCCTGTGGGGCCCACAGGTGCCCCCTGCCTCCAGTCCCCAGGGTGTGCTGCTTGTGGAGTGCTGACCCGGCTGGGGCCTCGTCTTGGTGAGTTCTTCATCATGCTGTGGGGCCGGGATGCCAGGCCAGGGACTCTGGACTTAGACTGGAGGGGTCGGGGTGTACTGGGAGCCACAGGAGGGTTGTGGGTGGAAGAGTGGCAGGGCCAGCGCTAGGTGCTGAAAGACTCCTAGGGGCCCAGGAGGACCTGTAGAAGAAGAGACAGGAGGCCAAGGAGGAGGCCAGCAAGGGTCCACAGAGAGAGGCCAAGGCCTGGGTTCAGGGCAGAACGATGGAGGGAGAGTGGGGGGGCAGAGAGTCAGGGGAGGGGGTCAAGAAGCACAAGACTGGACTGAGCAGCTTGGTGGAGGAGCTGACACAGATGCCCTCAGGTCTGGCCCAGTGACGGGGCAGCCAGTGGGGAACCGAGGGGGAAGCAAGATCAGGAGGAGACAGTGATTCGGGGGGACCTGAGGGAATGAGGACCCTGGGAGATACTGGGTGCTGGAGTTTGCATGCCAGGACCGAGTGTCCTTCTGGGGCAGGAATGGCGTGGCCCTGTAGGTCGGGGGACTGCCTTTGCTCAGTCCTTTGGGTGTTTCAGGAAGTTCAACTAGCCCCAGGGCAGTAGGCAACCAAGGGAAACCCAGGAGGGAGGAGAGAATCTGGAAACAGGTGTTGGGAGAGGAGGCAGGGGTAGCAGGAGGGAGGCCTAGAGGGACCTAGGGGAAATTGTACTCAGTAATCACTCTGGCACAGGCCTGGGGCTGGACCTCTCTACAAATTAACTCACTTCATTGAGAAGTGCTATTATGAGCCCCACTTCATACAGGCTGAAACCAAGGCATAGAAAGACAAGTTAATTTTCCAGAAGTCACACAGCTTGTGAGTGACAACGAAGATTTGATCCCAGGCTGCCTGCCCCCACCCCCCACCCCCAGCACCTTGAGCATGCTGGACAAATACTGCACCTTGGAGCTTCACCCCAGCCCTCAGCCTGTCCTAATCTAACACACACCCTTCACTTATCTACCTGGGTTCCCTTTCCTTACAAAAGAGTCTCTAAAAATAGTGCTTTCCATCATAGGACTGTCACAAGGCTAAGTGAAGTGACACAAGGAAAGGCCCTCAGACAAACACTGCCAAGTGGAAATACAATGAAGCCACATGTGATTTTCAATTCCCTAGTCCTCACGTCAAAAAAAAAAAAAAGGGAAAAGCAGCAGGTAACTTTAGACAGCACAGAGGCACACGCCTGTAATCCCAACAATTCAGGAGGCTGAAGGAGGATTGAACATTGGAGACCAACCTCAACCAATTAGCAAGACCCTGTCTCAAAAATAAAATAAAAGGGGCTGGGGTTGTGGCTCAGTGATACAGCACTTGCCTAGCATGTGTGAGGCACTGGGTTTGATCATCAGCACTGCATAAAAAAATAAATAAAATAAAGGTATTATGTCCATCTACAACTAAAAATATTTTTTAAATAAAATAAAAGGGCTGGGGATCTAACTCAGAGGTAGCACACCCCTGGGTTGAATCCTCAGTACCACAAACACACACACACATACAAAAAAAAGGTAACTTGAAATACTTTTTTTTAAAATATATTTTTTTAGTTGTAGGTGGACACAATGCTTTTATTTTTACTTATTTTTATGTGGTGCTGAGGATCGAACCCAGAACCTCACCTGCACTAGGCGAGCACTTTACCACTAAGCCACAACCCCAGCCCTTGAAATACTTTAAATATTATGTTTTACTTTTTTTTTTAAAAAAAAGAGAGAGTGAGAGAGGGGGAGAGAGAATTTTTTTAATATTTATTTTTTAGTTAACAGCGGACACAACATCTTTGTTTTGTATGTGGTGCTGAGGATCGAACCCGGGCCGCACGCATGCCAGGCGAGTGTGCTACCGCTTGAGCCACATCCCCAGCCCCTATGTTTTACTTTACCTGTTGTATCCAAACTATAGTCAATGAAATACTTTACTCTCTTTTTGCATATTTCAAAATCAGTGTGTATACATCATGTCTAAAGTCAGATGACATTTTTCTTTTGTGTATGCACAAAAGAATGTATGCAGGGCTGCACACCCAAGGCAAGGGTCCACCACTGAGCTACAAAGTGACACATTTTTATCAGAACCGCTTGATCTGCATTTAACATTCAGGAGCTTTGCACTTGCAGAGCTTTGCACTTTGCACTTGTTTTCTTACTCTCTCAATAACTATATTATTAATTTCTTAAATTTAATAAAAATTGGATGAAATTAAAAAAAAAATGCCTGAGTTGCCCCATAGTCACATTTGAAGTGCTCAGTAGTCACACGTGGCTGGTGGCTAACCAGCTGGAGAGCAGGGATGGAGAACATTTCCACCACTGCACAAGAGTTTTTCTTAGACAGTGATGTCCATAGACAGATGCCTGCTGCTCACTGGGAACAGAGTTGTTTGGGGCAGTCTGTGTCCTGCCTGGAGCTAAGTATTTTCTTTCCCTCTCCTCTGTCCATGGATCCTCAAACAACCCAAGACGACAACATATTTATCATCCCATTTTACACAGGACACTGAGGCCCAGCAAGAGGAGTCACCTATCAGAGGACACACGCCCAGTACACAGAGGAAGGCGGCTACAGACTGGTCCCTTCCTAGGCACCATTGCCCCTCAGGATGGAGGGTACGCCAGAACTCAGCCCTCTGTATAAAGCCCTTGTCCCCATGAACTTGTATATAAATCATTATTTTCTACCAGTTCTGGTTGGACTTGTCTGTGGTTGGGACGGGTTATGAATGGGACGGCATAGGGCTTGAGTCTTGTTTAGTTAATGCAATGTTTCTGTTCAAGCCTCTTGGGGCCCAGAGCCTGTGCTAGGCAATTCTAAGACCCAGATGTGAGGCAAAACCAGCCCAGGGCTCTGGCGCGCCGGGTCTTTGGAGGAGTCCCAGGGCACCCCAGAGCCGGGGCAAGATGACACACACTCGAATGAAGGGAGCACAGACAGTGTGGGATCCCCCAGGAGGCATCTGGCCCAGGCTGGGATAGATGGGGAGGCTCTCTGGAGGAAAGGACTCTTGAGCCCAAAGGCACTGGGATCATGACAAGACAGATTCTGCAGTGAGCGTGGGCGGAAGAGCAGGGAGGGCATCCCAAGCAAGAGAGACGGCAGAAGCAAAGGCCAAGAGTCTGGAAAGCGGAAAGCTGCTTTGGGATCCGCAGCAGATTGGTGCAGCCCCGGCATCTGGAAGTCATTTCTTCATCATCCACCTCCACCTGTTTCACAAAGGCGGATGCCGGGGTCCAGATAAGTGCAGCAGTTCGTCCTGCTCACCACGAGGCCTACCAGGCATCAAATCCACATCCCCTAACCTACACTGAGAGCCTAAGAGCTGTCCAGGCGGATCTGCTTGCCCCCTGCAGGCCATCACGTACCCTGCAACCCTCAGTCGCCTGATGGAGTAACGGCGACAAGTCGAGTGGAGCAGATCAGCAGCCCCTCAAAAAGATGGCTGCCGAGACCCGACAGCCCCACCCGACAGAACCGCCTCACGACTCACGTGATCTCTAGCCCCTCACAGGCATGGCCGCCGAGTTCAGATCGGATTGGGCAGTCAGAAGACCGCCCGCCTTCCCCCTAGGGCATCTCTGCGCACGCGTACAACACTTTAGCCAATGAGAAGACGGAAACTTCTCCGCTCCGCCAGTGTAGCGTTGCTGCCTCCGCCCTTGCGGCAAGGGATAAGAAACCCTGCGCCAACACTTCCTTCTTTCCCAGGCGGCTGCCGAAGATGGCGGAGGGGCAGGTTCGGTGTCTGCGCGGCTGGGGTGGTGTGGGGTCGCGTGGGATCCAGTCGGGAACAGAGTTGGGTCCAGTATTCCCTTGTATATACGTTGTGAAGCTTCAGATCAGCAGTTAACAAAAAGGAGCTGGTTTTAGTGGGAGGGTAATCCGTAGGGATGTAGGAGAAACCGCGGCTGTTTTAAGGTCGAGGAGTGGCTAAAAGGCGGCAGTTTATTCCTTCTCAAGGCGAAGGGTGATGGTGAGAGTTTGTTTTACGGTTACGTCTTCCTTGTCTTAATCTTGGGTAGCGGGTGGGAGCCCTTGGCGTCAGGTCTTTGTTCAGACCCCGGCCATGGGGAACACGCGGCGGTCTGACTGATGTCGGGCGATGGGAACCTGAGGCTGGGCCAAAATGGAGGCCACTGCCGTTGTCCCCAAGGCCTGAGCTGCTTCAACCTGACTCGGGATCAAGGTTTCCTACAGCTTGTGGCATTTCAATGCGAAATTCCCTATGCAGTAGGTTGAGAAAACTCGCCTTCCGAGTGTTCAGGAATTGCTTTATTCCCCCTTGTTTTGGGGTTGCTGGAAGTAGAGGGCTGTTAACAGTTCCACAACTGTAGGACAAACTTTCGCCCCCCAAATCACCCCCAGGCCCTCAGGGAACACCATAGAAGCTTAGATCTGTGTCTTATGTTGAACTGTTGAACATATACCTAAGAGGGTGGTCCTTGGGGCTGGGGCTGTAGTCTAGTGGCAGAGCGCTTGCCTAGCATGTATGAGGCATAATTAGAGGATGGGGGGGCTGGGGTTGTGGCTCAGCGGTGGAGCACTGTCCTGGCATGTGCAGGGCCCTGGGTTCCATCCTCAGCACCACATAAAAATAAGTAAAATGGAGATATTGCATCCAACGACAACTAAAAAAAAAAAAGGATGGCCCTGGAAAGGATTTCCTTGTGAATTTCTTCCTGTAAGTCTGTGGTATTTGGGCTCATTCCCAGGTAGGTAGAACTAGGCAAGTGGTAAGAGTCATCAAGCGAATGAGTACCTGTGAATAGCAGTGTGCACTGGTTTTGCCTATTTGTTGGCAATAGTCTTGAGACAGATGCTAGCCTCATTTTTCAGGTGAGTTGTAGATTTGGGGCCAAGGTCACATTGTAGGGAAGTCTAGCTTAGGTTTAGATTTGATGCCACACTGCATTGCTTTCCATTAACTACAAAAGTATGTATAACAACCATTATTTTATGCTGTCACATTAGTACATTATGGTGTGCTTTATTAATGTTGAAGGCTTCTATTCTTGATGAGGAAGCTGAGGACCCCAGGGATGCAGATCCAGCAAGGGCTTTTGACAATACTTGCTAAGTTCAGGGGTAGCATGCCTGTAGTACCCAGCTACTACTCAGGAGGCCTGCTGAACCCAGGGTTTTGAAGTCAGCCTGGGCAACCTAATGAGAAACTGTCTCAGACTAAAAAAAAAGTCCATGATAAAAATTGCATTTTACATTAAGAAGAGTTGGGTTATTAGAAGCCTGCAGTTTTGACAAAGGTGACAACAAATTTTGTACCTGTATGAGCCAAGGACAGGAGTTGCCAGGTTTGGGTCATATCTTGGCTCATCCTTTGACAATCCAAAATTCAGTCTTAGGAAGGGAGAAGGGAGTTCCTTGGTGTCTTGTCCTGCCTGGTGATGCTGGATCAACATTTTGCTTCCCCTTGGTCTACTAATCCAAGTCTTGGGTCTGAGCTGGAAGAGCCCCCCAGGGGCAAGGTGAACTGGAAAAGAGTGGTTTCTTGAGGTGGGAGAGTAAAGCTGTCAGTTTTCTCATCCCTTCCTTGTCTCCACAGGTCCTAGTGCTGGATGGCCGAGGCCATCTCCTGGGCCGCCTGGCGGCCATTGTGGCCAAACAGGTACTGCTGGGTAAGTCTGCTCACAGTCCTCCCTGCCTTTAGTTCCATTTGCAAGTCAGTGATGAGCAACAATCACCATCTTTCGTTTGAGTCTCACGACTGTGAGATCAACCCCATGCACCGCTCTGAGACTTGCCAGCCAAACTCTTCCCTCCCTGGCTCAGATTTTAATATGAACCCAGCTCTGCCAATTGTGTGCAAGGGAGGATCCCTCTCCCTTTATTCTGCCCTTCCTAATCCTTCCCCTTCTTGAATGCCTCACCTTCCCTTTAGGCCGCAAGGTGGTGGTTGTGCGCTGTGAGGGCATCAACATTTCTGGAAATTTCTACAGAAACAAGTGTAAGTTAAACCTGTGATCATAGAGGGGTTAAGGTTTTTTTGCTAGAGCTTTAGGATTTGGATGGGAACTGTTAGGTCTTATAGACAAGGCAAGCCTCATATTCTCCCCCTCCCTCAGTGAAGTACCTGGCCTTCCTCCGCAAGAGGATGAATACCAACCCATCCCGTGGCCCATACCACTTCCGGGCCCCCAGTCGCATCTTCTGGAGGACAGTGCGAGGTGAGCTGGGCCTCCTGGGGCTGTGGGTGGTGGCAGCAGGCAGCCAGTGATGAGGACGTCTCCCACTCGTGTTCGAGTTCCCCAACCATGAGATGACTCCACATGCACTACCATCTGAGGCCGCCCCATGCCTGCCCTGGTGGGGAAGGGTGGACATCCTCTAAGCCCCACTGAGGTCTGGCATCCTTCTGCCATAGGCATGCTGCCCCACAAGACCAAGCGAGGCCAGGCTGCCCTGGACCGCCTCAAGGTGTTTGATGGGATTCCACCACCCTACGACAAGGTGAGCCACACCAAGCCTCCAGCACAGTGTCCTGCATCCAGCGTCCATGATGTTACACAATTACCTACATTGTTTGAGCCTCATGAAAACATAACTGGCTGAGACGCCTACTGCAGCCAGCCTCCTTTTCCTAGTGTCTTTGCACTAGGTCTTTAAGCCCCTCTCCTCCAACAGAAAAAGCGGATGGTGGTTCCTGCTGCCCTGAAGGTTGTGCGACTGAAGCCAACAAGAAAGGTGAGTTCCAGGTTGGACAGCTCTAACTTGGTTTTAGGGTCTGCTGGGGTGAACCTGAGGTTCAAGACTGGCAAATGATGTTTTTTCTCACGATGGTCTGCGGATGCCACTGTGTGCAGTGCCGAGAACGCTAAAGGCTTAGCTGATGCCAGGAGCGGGGAGCCTTTACATGGGATGTGTGTGTGTGTTACCTTTTCATGTGGGCTTGCTGGGGACTGAATTATTATTCCCTTCCCATGATCCTCTAGGACAGTTACTCCCCTTGTGACCACCATAGCCTCAGTCCAGGCTCTTTAGGTTAAGAGGACTCCCATGTCTCTATGTCCTTAAAAACTTTCTTGGTTTGTTTATGTTTTTTTGGTGCTGGGGATTGAACCCAGGGCCTTGTGCTTGTGAGACAAGCACTCTACCAACTGAGCTATATCCCCAGGCCCTTAAAAACTTTCTTTGCCCCTCTAGTTTGCCTACCTGGGGCGCCTGGCTCATGAGGTCGGCTGGAAGTACCAGGCAGTGACAGCCACCCTGGAGGAGAAGAGAAAGGAGAAAGCCAAGATCCATTACCGGAAGAAAAAACAGCTTATGGTGAGGGCAGGGGTTGCCCTGGAGAGGGGACTGTGCTTGTGGGTGGGCCAGGCTGGCGAGGTCTTGCCCTAGAAGGTCTGCCTACATCCCAGCCTGAGGTGGAGAACCAGCTCCTAAAAACATTGTGTGTCTTTACCCCACAGAGGCTACGAAAACAGGCAGAAAAGAATGTGGAGAAGAAAATTAACAAGTTCACAGAGGTCCTCAGAACCAATGGACTCCTGGTCTGAGCCCAATAAAGACTGTTTATGCCTAATGTGTGGCCTGGCCTGCCCTTCCTCCATCGCCACCCTGGGATATGGGGGACCCTGGAAAGCTGACACAGAGAAGGGCCTAGTCTTGGTCTCTGCTTCTGTTTCGGGAGGTTTCTTAAGAGTTGTATGGTCAGAATTTATGGCCTGCTTATTCATGAATTTAAAAAAAAAAAAGAACTACCAGTTACTTGCAGTATTTTTTTCTTTTTAAATGGGCTGGAACACTAAAGGGGGGGTCTCCTTGGCTACAGGGGCACCCACCTGTCTTAACCATGTGGCCATCCTATACTCTGTAGCTGAAAGAACAGGAGAGTACCTGCTGAAGTGGGTCAAGTTTTAGAGGTGCAAAGACTGGAAATTGCACTGCCCCTTTCCTTACCTCTGTTTTGTGATCAAAAGCAAATAAATTATTTTTGAAGAAACGTGGCGTCTTTGCATATGTCCACTGTGGAGGTGGGCCCTCAGCAAAAACAGGGCTTTAAGAGGTTTCACGCAGGCCACACTTTCCACAAAAACCTAAGTTTCCTCCTGGGACAGCCTGCAGTGTCCTAATAACCTGAAGCTGTCCCTTTCCAGCTCAACTGCAAAGTATTTGATTGCCACAACGCCCCCTACTGCCTGACTCCAGGGGTCAAAGCACCATAGCAAGTGAACTGGTTATTAAATAAGTTAGGTCTCATCTGACACCTAAGAATAGACGTGTTGGCTCTGCCAGTGTGAACCCCTGAGGGCATTGGGGTTGGGGAACACTTTGGGGACAAGCCCTTCACAGGTCAGGGCCTGCCTGGGTACCCCTTTGCCCATTTCAACAGTCACCAGCACCCACAACTTTGTTGGGAATTGAGCCCAGGGCCCCATCATGCCAGGCGAGCGCTTTGCCACCGGACAGCCTAATGAAATACAACTCAAATATTCTGGTTCTCAGTCGCAAGAGTCAAATTTTAAATGCTGCTGCCCACCGAGTGCAGGTATGCAATAATTCCACGATCGCGGTAAGTTCTATTAGCGCCATCTTACACAGAAAAAGCAAAAAGAATGGCTCCAAATCACCGTCTGGAAGTGAAGCCCACCACTGCCAGGTAACTTTCATTCAACTTCTAAAAGATCCGGCAGCTTCCGCCCCTCGCAAAGATGGCGCCGCCGCAATGCTTCTAGGAACGGCAGGGGGCCTGTCCCATAAAAAAGATGGTAGCATCACCGCTGGTTTGAAGCCTACCCGAATACAGCCACGTGGTCCCCAAATCCCACGTGAACCTACACCTCAGGGAAATGACGGCTTCCCCACGACTCTCGCGATAACACAAATCAAGCCAATCTGAACTAACGCTCCCGGAGCAATGAGAGCCTGAAACTCTCGCGAGATAGTATGCACACTTCCCGCCCCCGAGTCTTTCACCATCATGGCCGCGCACTTGCAGTTTCCGATGCACAAGCCTGGTTAAAGCCGCCTGTCAATCAGAGTCGCTCTCGAGGCACCGCCCAAAGCCGTGTGACCCTGCCCCTTTCGTCACTTCCTCTACAGCCCCTGCGCAATCAATAAGGAAACCCGGACGCTTCCGTCGCTCTCTTTTTTTTCAGGCAGCCGGGAAGATGGCGGACATTCAGGTGTGTTCTCTGTGCTGGCCCGGAATCTGCGGGTCTCGCTCTCAGCCAAAGGGGCGGGTCTGGGAGGCCAGGACCTTGCGCCCCCGTTTGGGGTTATTCAGGGCGTCCGCGATTTCCTAGGGATGAATTAAGGTGGGCCATATACGTTTGCTTTAAGCTTAGATATCAGCTTCCTAAATCTTGCTGGCTCTTCACATTAATACAGATTCAAGCGTTTTAGGAGCCATTATCCAAAAGCCCAAGGGTTAAGAAATGATGTTTGCGGCCCTGAGTCCTAAGGGCGAGTTCGGGGAGCCGTCGTTTGGTAGCTAAATTTGAACCCTCTTTGATTAAATAAGGAGTGAATGCAGCGTGAATTGTTTTGTGTCTTTAAAAATAATTATTGCTGAAAGGTGCCCAGGGTGTTAGAGGTATGTTCCTGGAGATTAAATTCGGCTGGCAGTGGGAGGTGTTCTAGAGCAGGCAAGCTGAAGTTACCTTGGGCTTAGAGACGTCTTTGAATTGTAGGTACACGGTGGGTGGCTGTGTTCTAGAGGATATTTCAGGGACACTGGTCCTCTGGGGCTGGCCTGTGGGAAGTATATACTGGAGGTTTGGGGGAAGGTCCTCAGGCCAGAAATCCATCTGCTCCAAGCTTGCAAAGTCACCAGCTTCCTTCTTATCCCTGTAGACAGAGCGTGCCTACCAAAAGCAGCCGACCATCTTTCAAAACAAGAAGAGGGTCCTGCTAGGAGAAACTGGGAAGGAGAAACTCCCTCGATACTACAAAAATATTGGTCTGGGCTTCAAGACACCAAAAGAGGTGGGGAGAACTCCCAGAAGAAAATGAGACTCCCTTGCCCCTGCCCACGTGCCTGGCAGGGTTGCCCTGCCTACGTCTCAGTGGCTACCCTCTGGGCTGCTGGGAATTGTAGTTTGGGTCCTTGAGGTCACACGCTCAGTCCTCTTTTGTCCAAAGCTCACTCTTCTTTTCCTTATCTCTTCAGGCCATTGAGGGCACCTACATTGACAAGAAGTGCCCTTTCACTGGTAATGTTTCCATCCGAGGGCGGATCCTGTCTGGTGAGTGGAGAATTTTGGGGGCCTGAACTATTGGAATGAAGGGGCTTGGGGCCTAGATTCCTGGTTTCAGGGCACTGGCAGATGATGTCTGTTTTCACGATGGTCTTCAGATACCCACCACGGGTACTGCTGAAAAGCCACTTGGCAAAGCTGATGCCAGAAGCAGGGCTTTTGGGGACCCACCCTACTCAGCAACTTCTGATTCCCAGCATGCCCTGGGCAACCCTTGGTTCCCTTTCCTATGAGGCCTGACTGATCTATGATTTATTTGTTTCCTCTGCCCAGGTGTGGTGACCAAGATGAAGATGCAAAGGACCATTGTGATCCGCCGGGACTATCTCCACTACATCCGCAAATACAATCGCTTTGAGAAGCGCCACAAGAATATGTCTGTGCACCTGTCCCCCTGCTTCAGGTGAGCACGGTGGTCCCTTAGGGAGCAGCTAGCCAGGGTTACATTTATGTTAGAATGAAGTGCTTTTTCTTTCCTTTTTTCGTGGGTTGGTACCAGGGATTGAACTCAGGGGCATTAGAGACAGGGTTTTGCCGAGGCTGCCTTTGAATTCAAAATTCTTCTGCCTCAGCCTCCAGAGCCCCTGGGATTACAAGTGTGCGCCACCTTACCTGGCTTGAAGTACTTTTTCGTAGAACATGTTTTGTATATGTATGTCTTACCCGTGTTAGAGACTTAGTGTTCAGAGATCAGCAAGGGTAAGGTCCTCCCTCAGAGAGCACCTTGGAGCAGGAAGGACACCAGACCAGTGGAGAGAGATGATGGGCAGTGGGATAGTAGCTCATAAGGGAGGGTCTTCTGGAAGAATGACTTGGGAACAAAGCGGGGGTTACTTGACAGGAGGGCTGGTCGCCACTGACTCTGGCAGTGTTGGACTTGGCTCAGGTGCCCAAAGGATCCTCCATCCACTGGGGGATGCCACTGGCCAATCCTGGGAGCCTCCCTTTGTTCTTTGTGAAATGGAGATTTCAGTTGATGGAGACCACAGGCATGCTGCCCCACAAGACCAAGCAAGGCCAGGCTGTCCTGGGTGTCTAGGGGGCAGGTTGAATGGCAGCTGGAGCTGGAATGGGGTTACATTAAACAGCGTGGAACACCTTCAACCTGGTGATGGGGACAGAGGGTTTCCTTTAGAGGTCTGCTGAGGTAACCTCTTCTGAGGACATGCTCCTGCCTGTTCCCACAGGGACGTCCAGATTGGTGACATCGTCACAGTTGGCGAGTGCAGGCCTTTGAGCAAGACGGTGCGCTTCAATGTACTCAAGGTCACCAAGGCAGCTGGCACCAAGAAGCAGTTCCAGAAGTTCTAAGACTGGATGCCTGCCCACCCTCCAAAGCAAAATAAACTTATTTTGTAATTCACAGTCCAGACTTGGGATTTCTGTGCCCTCAGCAGAGGGAAGGATTGCCTTTGGGGCTGAGGATGGGCACACCTCTTGTCTGCTGCCCTTATCTCTGGATGTGGACAGTGCCACCTAAATTGAGATGCTGCCCTTCCTGTTTGGGTCCCTGTCACCTCTTGGTGTCAGGTACCTGATTTCCCATCCCCCAGTCTCTGGAGAGGAAGTAAGGGAGGGTGGGGAATCTGGCCTGGACTCATTGGCCTTGGTGAGGAGGCAAAGGGGAAGCAGCCGCCCTCTGTTGTGGAGGCTTAGTGGGCCCACTATCTGAACTGTGAGGGTCTGGCCTTCCACTTGGGCCTCCAGTCTTACTGACAGCCAACAAGGGGCCCTGTGAGCCCTCCCCCGACCACACACAAGCCCAGGTGAACACCAGGCCCACTTAGAGATGAGGAAACAAACCTGGGAGAGAGCGAGTCCTGTGCTTGGAGTCCCAGTGAGTAGGCTTCAGGGTACATGGTCTGATGGTGGCCAAGTAGGGCTGACCTGGAGCCCAGCTTTACAATGCTAGGGTTCAGGTGCAGGAATGGGGCTCTGGAAGCCCTAGTAAAGAGACCAACTGGGAAGAGCTGCAGAGTCAGGAGAGGAGTAGATACTGAGTCGAATGGTAATGGAGAAAGACAAGGCCCACCTTTGAGAAGGGCGTCCTTGATCCTCTGGTGCAGAGGCTCAGTGGGACAGGCTGCAAGGGCAGAAGGGGACTACAGAAGCAGCTGGAGAGACGGACCTTGAGCATCCCACAGGTGCACAGGCAGCAGATCTGTAAAACAGCTGCTTGGAAATACTAAAGGACAGGGCAGAAAGCAAAGATGGGACTAGTAAGAGACCTGCCACAGCCGGAGTCCGCAGGGAGATGCTGAGTTGCCCCACTGCCTTCATCCACAGGGCCTGCTGGTGCCGGGGTCCACAGGTCCCTGACCCCCAGACCTGTACCAGGGTCTAAGGCACAGCACTGGTACAAGGGTTGGGAGACAGGGCCTTGAGGAAAGGAGTTGCTGCTGCCTCCAGGGACGCCGCACCCAATGGGCCCAGCTTCTGCCTTTTACCCAAGCCGGGGAGGGCGGGGGTTCCTGCCAGAGGAAGTGGGCTCCCATCAGAGGGCAGGAAGGGGTAGGGACAGGTCAGGGGGGCACCGCCCGAGCTGCAGAGCCTGCCCTGCTGTGCTAGGTGGGGAGAGACCCAGCAGGAGAGACAGGGGCACAGACCTACAGAGGGGTCCTCAGACCCAGAGAGAGAAGTCGGCCCTATGCAGCCAGAGGGGGGCAGGGATGGGGACAGAGACCCAGAGGGATCTGAGGCCTCTCAGAGGTGCGGCCCCCTCCGGCCACAGGTGCTTCCGTTCCGGGTGGGGCGGCTGTGTTTACAACAACATCCCGCTCCTCTGTTTCCTCCCAGCGGTCGTTGGGGCGTCTCCTTGGCACCCCATCACATCAGGTTACCTGGACTGCAGGCTAGAGCCAGACCTGCTGTGTCTGCCGGGACTGGTGGGTTGCGAAGACCAAGGATAAAGACCCTGGGGACCCCTCCACAGTTCTTTCACCAAGGACTGGCCTTACTCAGAATCATGTGACACATGCCCAGGTCCTTGTCACAGCCTGAGCACATCCCCTCCCTCTGCTCTCCCACTGTGACCTGAGCCCCTGCACCAACCCTTCCTCTGCTGTTCCCAGCCACCTTCGCAGAGGCTCCCTCTCTGCCTCTGGCTTCAACTTTAATTTCCACCAATCTAATTCTATTTGGCAGAACCTCTAGCCCTGGGGTCACCCTGCCCTGCCTTATTGTCCTGTGTAGACAAGTGAAGCCTCATTCTCACTAATTTTATCATACAAATCCTGATATTGCATATTTCCCTGTGGTGAGCTGTCTTGTTGCCAGCTGGATGTGAGCTCCAGGTGGGCAGGAGTCTGCATCCCCATCGGAGGTGCTCCAAAATGTGTTGTCACAGAATGGATGGATGGAGTTCAGTCCAGTTCTCATGCTCACTGGGTGCACTTGACCCCTAGGCTTCAGGATGATGGAAACCAAAAGTGCTGAACATGAGAAGGAGCCCCCAAATGCAGGCCTGCTGGGTCTTGAGCTCACTAGTGGTGTGACCTTGAATAAGTGACCTGCCCCAATCATGGAGCCTTAATTTCCCAATCTGTAAAGTGGGTTCTTGCCTCCCCACCCCAATGGAGAGATGCTGCATGCTTTCATGTGATCACAGACTACAACCAGTTCTAGTGACACTCAGGGCAATAATTATGCCAGAGCCCTGAGCCTATTGTCAGAGAAAGGCTCCATGCAACAGCAAACCCATGTCCTTTTTATGGTACCAGGGATTGAACCCAGGGGTATTTAACCACTAAGCCACAACCCCAATTCTTTTTGTTTTATTTTTGAGACAGGGTCTCCATAAGTTGCTTAGGGCCTCGCTAAGTTGCTGAGGCTGTCTTTGAACTTGAGATCTTTCTGCCTTACCTCCCAAGCCGCTGGGATTACTGGTGTGCACCACTGCACCCAGAAAGACCAGGTCCTTTTGAGCAAGCAGAAGGACAAGAGTCTGGCAGGTAGCCCTAGTTGTAGAATCCTGGGACTATTAGAGCAAGACCTGGTGGTATGTCACAGGATGATGCAATATTCTCTCACACGCTGGTTACAGGAGATCCCAGTTGCACTGCCATTTTGCAGAGAGATTACCTCCAGACAGGTTTCGGTTTATATTGGGGATTGAACCCAGGTGAACTTTACCACTGAGCTAGGTCCCAGCCCTTTTTTATTTTGAGACAGGGTCTAGCTAAATTGCCAATGCTGGCCTTGAATTTATGATCCTCCTACTTCAACCTCCCAATTCGCTGGAATTCCAGACTTTTGCCATCATGCCCAGATTCCAGGCAGGGTTTTGAAGCAGGGTCCTGGATTTGCAATGACAGCAGGCTTCAGGCCCACTATTGGAAACAGGGCAGTTCTTGCTGTTTCATACTATGTGAAGCCCTGGATTCAGCCCAGAGGCCACCGGGATAGTATGTTACTACAGCAGGACCTCAGAAGCTTATAGCAGGCCCTGTGGATATTACATGGTGGCAATACCCAGGTTATGTTATAATTGGCCCATCAAGTCCCTTATATAAAACAGCATAGACAGGTACAGTGGCACATGCCTGTCATCCCAGCTATTCTGGAGGCTGTGGCAGGAGGATGGTAAGTTCAAGGCCAGCCTGGGTAACTTAAGAAGACTGTCTCAAAATAAAATAAATAAATAAAAGGGCATATTTTTTACATAGAACTTTTTGCACATTCTCCTATGTAGTTGAAACCATCTCTAGATGTCTTATAATACCCAATACAATGCAAACACTGTACAAGCGGTTGTTATACTGTGTCATTCAGAGAAGAAGAAGAAGAAAGTCTATATGGCTGAGGATGTAGCTCAGAGGTAGAGTGCTTGTCCAGCATGTGCAGGGGACTGAGGAGGAAGGAAGAGAGGGAGGAAGGAAGGAGGAGAGGGTGGGAGGGAGGGAGAAAGGGAGAGAAGAAAAGAATCTGTTAGAATCTGTACAGGTTCAATACAGATGTAGTTTTTTTTGTTGTTGTTGTTTTGTTTTTTTTTTCCCCAAAAATACTTTTGATTCAAGGATAGTTGAATCTACAGGTAAAGTAGTAAATAATTTGTGTAGTCGGGACCTGAGATCTCCGAGTAGAGGACAGGGAGATCAAACTGGGGTGGGTTCTGTGTGTGTGAGCTACATTCCCAGCCTTCACTGAGTTACTAATGCTGGTCTTGAACTTGTGATCCTCCTGCCTCAGCCTCCCCAGCCCCTGGGATCACAGGTGCGTCTGTGTGTGTTTGAGCAGCCCTATGACTGTTTTGGCCTTGCTCTGAGCCACCTGCGGCAAAGTCCTGGAGTAGGTCCTGGCTCTATGACATAAATGAGATCCACAGATCGTTTGTGGGTTATATAGATTCTCCTATCACGATCTAGCAGGAAAGCAAAGGCATTCTAGAGAAATTTTAGGGGCATATCAAACCAAGCCAGAATCATTCATTACTGCCTTGATTCATTCTACGAATATTTATTGTTCAGGCTCCAAGGGATGGATTCAAGAGGGAGCAAGACGAATCCAGGGCTTGGTCCCCAATCTAGCAGTACCCCTGGGGATCTTGATAGCAGCCTGGCCATCAGTTACCACTGATGCCCTACTATGTTCCCCAGGTTCAGACTTTGACTCCCTAAAGCCTCTCAAATGAGACAGGCATAATTATTTTCCCCATTTTTCAGAGGAAAAAACAAGGCTCAGAGAGGAAACCCGGAAGGGTCAGATTTGGTTTAGAGCTCCGGTGTAATGGCCTCGTGGGGCCAGTGGGAGGCACTACTGTGCAGGTGCAGAGGAAGAGCAGATGTTCCCATGGCTCTTGGGAACAGCTCACAGCTGCCTGGAACTGTTCATAGAACAGACACCCTGGGAGTGGGCTGGCTCCAGGGACAGCTCACCACGCAGTTGCTGGGGTCCACCCAAAGAGATCCATGCTTGGTGCAATGCCCAGGTAGAACCTCCTTAAATTCAAAATGAAGGGCCCCACATTTTCATTTTGCTCTATGCTCTGCAAATTGTGTAGATGATGCTACCATAAGGACTTTCCACTATATTAGAGTGAGTCCCTGGGGACAGGATCCCAGCAGGATCCTGGAGAGTCCCTGTGAATGTCTAAGGGTGTTCTACTACAGCCCGGGGACATGCCCCTAGGAAGGGGACCCAGTGTGCATCAAGGAGCTTGCAGGCCTTTTTCTGTTGTGGCAGGCAGGAGGGAAGGACCTTACGTGGAATATTAGGGGAGACCCTGGGAGAGTTTAGCTAGAGGCCATTATAAGGAGCAGAAGAACATCTGGTTTTGCCAGCAGGCCAGCAGGAAGGATGGCAGATCAGAATGGGGACATTACAGCAGGGGCAAGGAGGGCATCCTAGATGACTGGGGTGGGCTGGAT